TCTTTCAAAAAAATCAAAAGCTAAATAAACGTGTATCGTGATTAAAAATAATTAATTTAGAGAGTATAATAATTAATAATAAAACGTAGAAAGGGAGAGTATATGTGTATTATATAATGTATGAAAAGTTTAATTAATTTGATTTCTCTATATCAAAATATTTGTGATATGCACATATTTCATTTAATTTAGTGGAAGATTGAACGGATAAAATTGTTTTATCGCGCGTGACTGACAGTTAACATGTTGAATGTGAAATGTTTGTTCCAGTTATAAAGGCGTAATTCGTCAAAAAAAAAAAAAAAAAAAAAAAAAAAAAGAAAGAAAGAAAAAAATATCCATACATTTTTTCATCGAAATTTTTCGTGTACATTGTTCAACTACATAAGTAACGCATCAGAAACGAATTCGAATTATCGAACCAAAAATTATTCATACATCTACCAACTCGCCTATTACAGACTCTTTTCTGCTATCACATAATTATTAATGATTATACATAAATATATTACAATATAGATACTATACATTGTTTCGGCATGATGTAAGAATACTGTTGGTAATGAAATAAAGAAAATTATACTTGTCACATCTCTTTCCTATCTTTAAACTATGCATAAACTACGAATGTCTATCATACTTTTCCATTTACAATTATTTTATTTATTCGAATAAATTTAAATAAAAAGAGATTTTTATCGCGTTATTCTATTAATTTTAATTTAACAGGCTTGCGGTATTGTAAAGCGGATTACATTCTGGGATATGAAACCGTATGGCAATTTCACCGAACAATTCCAAATAATTAAATAAATCATCGCAAATAATGAAATATAATAAATTAGATAAATTCACTCACCGCGAACGTTGTACAGCCACAACACTCCTGCCATCATATATTCCATCGGTGCGATGTCAATTTCTGCTTAAAACGTTTTAACCGAAAATCTATCAAGTCACGTGAATGCGAGTGGAAATTACGTTTAATTGTAATCTCACACACAGATGAATCCTCTCGTTCTCGTATCGTTGACAATATGTGTGAGGTTGATGAGCTGTAATGATATTCAATATGTAATCAGTCGGTATGTTAACATATATCTTTTTAAATAAAAAAAATAAAATTATTTTCTCCTTTTTTCATACATCATCTTTTACACTTTAAATAATATTATTTTTATGCATAATAAATTATATAAAAATTATGTATTTTTTTATATGCATATATATAATTATACATTATTAATGAAAAATGTGCTTAAATTTTATAGAACAAATCATCAAAATATTAATTATTATTATTACAGAATTATTAAAATGGACATTGATCATCTTGATGAACATCGATGACCTCGATATAAACCGAGATCGAACCATCACGCGACCGAGAAAGTGCGGTTAATTATGCGCGCATCAATTATTAATACGCCAAAATAATCGTTCTGCTGTTCATTTTTGACCAATAACGTTGGATCGTTCAAATTCGAGTCGACATGACTACACTTCACAAAATCTACTCGAATATACCAACGGGTAATTACTTTATCACTTACCTTAATTGATTCGCCATGACAGTCGATCGTTTATTCACTCACTAATATATATTCGGTGCGCTTCGTGTGCGTCGTGAATTATGCGAAAACGCGATTAATCCTGATTATGCACGCTAATAATTAATACGCTACGACTACGCGACACCACGCACGCGACAATATTCAATATCGATTCGCACGCGAAATGCAATTTTATCGAGCAAACAATATGCGGAGAGATTTCGCGGTGGTTATTTCCCAACGCAAATTCGCGCGAAACATACAGCGCGCATGCGCGACGTTCAAGAATCACGCACCAACGAATGACGGAATCGCTATTCCGAAATTATCGCGTTCGCCCAAGTTAATTAACACGTTACTCGACACTCTCCATACCAACTGGAACGCGATATACAATTTCGTTGAGCAAAAAGAGCGCGAAGAACGCGGGACGATGTCGCGACATCTAACTTTTGGCGCGAGGACACACACGAAGCATGACGCGCATGCGCGGCTCGCACGTCACATGTCACTCGCGACAACTTCGCGTGACGCTAGACGGACATTTTGATCGAATGACGAGTAATGATAATTATATAAATAATTAATTAATACTATTTATCTCGATAAGTTTGCCACGACAGTCGACAGTTTATTTATTCGCTATTTTTGACGCGCTCTTTGCATATAAAGTGAATCACGCGATAAATTTCAATAATTCTGTGATAAATAGACGCTGTATGCGCGGCTTTCAAGACTCACTTTCGGCCGAATAATGACTTGGTTAATGCACGAAAATATGTTCAATCCTATTTGTCCAAGCTAATTAACACGTTACGGTGATATTTCAGACATCGCACGCGACACTCTCGATACTAATTGGTACGCGATATACAATTTTATCGAGTAAAAAGAGCGGGAACACGGGACCGATGTCGAGATGTCTAACTTCTGGGCGCGAGATCACACGAAGTATGATGCGCATGCGCAATTTGCGCGCTAGATTCATTCGCCGCGAAATGATTTTGAGTAAACGGCGAAAGTAATTAGTAAGTATATTTAACACATATGTGTACGTATATGTAGATACCATGTATAAACGCTTGAGTTATTGCAGAATGAATGGTAATGGAAATTTGAGATGTGGAAATACATATAGTTAGTTTAGACATGAGAAACTTCAGCATTTACTAAGTAATCGACATGTGATATAATAGAAACTGTTATTATACAAACAGAATCATTACGTTGATTAATATCACATATAACGAAGCCCGCGGATTCCGGATAGTTTGATATTATTTGAATCGTATACGAGATCCATTCACGTATACATTGAAATTTGTATAAATAAAATGGGATATATACACTGAAATAATTTGTATAAATGAAATCGGATATATACACAACTACTATTTACAGACAATATTTTATTGATATAATTTGAGCACCAAATCTATTAATTTCATCAATGTTTCTTGCGCATATAATAAATTGGGTATATATTTTAATTTAAATTTTAATTGAATATTTTACAATATAAATAAATATAAATAAATAAAAATGAGATAAAATGAGATTTGAATAAAACTTGAATAAATTCAACTATTATGTGTGTAACAAATTATAAATTTTGAAATATCTGTGAATTTCTATGTTAATTTTATCGATCTTCTCAAAAGAATTTTAAATCAATAGAGAGAGAAATAATATTACTGTCAGATAAAAATTTACGAATACTTAAATATAAATCATTCGAGCTTAAATTCATATTTAAAATAAATTCGTGAAATTTATATCTATTTTTATATACCTGTTATGTAAATTCTCGTAAAACGCTTGATATAGGGTGCGTTCAGCAGATCCCGACAGTCGCAAAGCGCGTGCGTGGAAGTCGCGTCCCTCCATCTGGGAAGACGTTCGGACACTTTCCAGCAGCGTCACCGTGAGTGATTGTGGACGTCGTATGCGCAACAAAAATCTATATTAAAATGGAGGAGCTGCCACCAGGCGAGCTTCCGGATCAGCGGAACAAGAGGTACGAGATAAACGCATTTCGCTTCATCGAATAATCGCGGATTCGCTTTCCCATACGATATCGCGGAGATCGCCGTGCACTTTACATTCCTCGTCTTAACCTATATTTGCTCCAACCTATTCGAGGAACGATCGTCGTAGGATGATTAGCCGCATAATTATTGACGATTCCTCTAGATGTATCGCTATCGGCGAGATTCTACCGCGGTTTAGTACAAAACGCAGACATCCTTGAATCAATTACGTAGAATTCCATTTAAGGAAGACATTTTCACATATCATTCATTCTTAATGAGTGACTCGTGATTTCATCATTCTGATGTAATTTATTTCATTGGCAGATATTTGATCACAACATATAACTGTGAGAATTGCAATCACTTTTTGATTATTGCTAATTTGTACATATGTAAATAAAACTAGTTTTTTTTTATCATGATTGCTCATTGTGTATGCGAATCTTTATTTCTGCTATATATACATAACGTCATAATTGTCTGATTATATTATAATGATTATTGAACATGTGTCTTCCTGTTACATTTAACATTATATATACATTGAAAATTGTATTTAATATGTGTTGAGAAAACATAAATGTAAAATTTTGTTGCCATTTTATCATAGCTGCAAAAAGAAAGATCGAAGAAGAAGAAGAGAACATGCATTGGCAAATACAGCAAGTGGGAATCACAACAATAATAAGGAAGACAAAGAGAAAGAAATGTCTGGTGCATGCAATATCTCCATCAAAGAGATCCAGATGGCGATGGAGGTATTCAATATGCAACAAAAACCTGCCAAAACTCAGGAGGAAGCAATGCAAAAACCTTATCAATTTTGGAGCACACAGCCAGTACCAAAAATGGGTAAATAGTCAATTAAAGATGTATTATTTTATTTGTATTAATATTTTTTTCTGAAGAAGATCTTGTTATTGATTTAAAGATGAAAAAATTGTATGCAATGAGCCAATCGAGCCTGATAAAACATCTATTAGAGCGGAACCTTATTCATTACCTGCCGACTTTCAATGGGATACCTTGAACCTGGACGATCCTCTGGTCTTATCGGAATTATATACGTTACTTTCCGAAAATTATGTAGAAGATGATGATGCGATGTTTAGATTTGATTATCCTCCAAACTTTTTGAAATGGGCACTGCAACCTCCTGGCTGGTACAAAGAATGGCATTGCGGTGTGCGAGTGAGCAAGAGCGGACGTCTAGTCGGTTTTATCTCTGCTATTCCAGCCACTCTACGCATCTATAATCAGTGAGTATTGTATGCTTGCATAATGTGCTCGATTTTGCAATGTAACATCTCGAAAATTTTTCTAGTATCCAGAAAATGGTTGAGATCAACTTTCTGTGCGTACATAAAAAGCTAAGATCAAAGAGAGTCGCACCTGTGTTGATACGTGAAATCACAAGAAGAGTGAATTTGCAGGGCATCTTTCAGGCTGTATATACTGCCGGTGTCGTCTTACCAAAACCTATTGCGACCTGCAGGTCTGTATGCAAAGCATTTAAAATCTATTTCTTTTGGTTAACTAATAAATTAATCAATATTAATTGTATATACATATGTTAGGTATTGGCACCGATCCCTAAATCCAAAGAAGTTAATTGATATCAAGTTCTCTCATCTTACTCGCAACATGACGATGCAGAGAACTCTGAAGCTATATAAACTGCCAGAGAATACAAAGGTACCAGGTTTCAGAAAGCTGGTTTATACAGATATACCGCAAGCGCGTAAGATATTATTGGAAGTAAGTATAAAAACAATCTATTATAATATATTTGATATACTTATAATACATTTGATCACATCACATAATGTATATTTATTTTATAGTATTTGGAGAAGTTCGATCTTGCTCCGATATTTTCGGCCGAAGAATTCGAACATTGGTTCCTGCCACGAACCGGCATTATTAACAGTTTTGTAGTGGAGAAGGAGGGAAAGATCACCGATATGGTAAGTTATTATACATTGCCGAGCTCCATCATGCATCATCAGACACATAAGACTCTCAAAGCCGCATACAGTTTCTACAACGTATCTACCGTGACGCCATGGCTTGAACTAATGATGGATGCTTTAATATCTGCACGCGATGTAAGTCTTTTTACTTCATGTGTTTCGCTATGCAGAACTTTTCGAATGGTTATCGAACAAACGGTTTTTACTCACAGTTGGGTTTCGACGTATTTAACGCGTTGGATCTCATGGACAACAAGGAGTTTTTAGAACCTCTTAAGTTTGGCATCGGTGATGGCAATCTTCAATACTATCTATATAACTGGCGTTGCCCCAGTATGACACCCGGCAAGATCGGTCTCGTGCTCCAGTAAGCTTCTAGTTTAACTAGTCGCTATCTAGAGAGAGAGTCTTTTGCGACTTCGCGAGAGAGATAGCGACATAGTCGCTGAGCGGACAATGGACACATAGAGCAATAGAGAAAACCAGTAAAGATGACAATTTCTGACGGGGATAAATGCGACTTTTCTTACCGACAAGAGTATATAAATGCATCTACAGTGATTGAAAAGAGTTTTCTTACAGAATCGACGATCGAATGGATAACTCGATCTCTCGAAAATCACTTTTGTCTTCGTCGTTGACGCATTTGAAGATTCTAGGTTGAACTTTATGCAAGCGGGATTACTACTATGAAAATTGTGCATTGTATAGCGCACGTGTATATACGTACCTGCGTGACTTGAGCAATGTAGATAAGTATCATGCGATTAATAGCGATTATATACGGGAAGCCATCTCGTAACCACCAGTGAAAAATTTTCAATAATATAAGCCTTCTAGACGCCAAGTAACTCTTTATTCGTTTTTCCTTTACATTTTCTCAGCTAATTAGATGATACAAGATATGCCGAAATATGAGCGACAGACAAATTATAAATAAAACATAATTTATCGAGAGTGATTTGCTTCTGCTCTCTCTTTTACTATTTCTAGTTTCGTACCTTTTCCTTACTCATTTCAAATATCCGTATCTATATGAATAAATAAGTTGTATTTGATTATGAACATTGTTTCTTATTATCTATACATTTGTGTGTTCTTAGTAATTATTAGCAACATATGTAGTGGTTGCAGAACTCAGGATTATAAAATAATAGAATTTATTTCTAATTCTAGTTAGAGATTTCTGTGAGATCCAAAACTCGCAGAAAGAAACCAATAATTAACAATATATATCAAGGAGAAAATTATTCAGTTGACTGCAATATCAAATATATTCATTTAACATTTATATTAGAAAAAAAAAGTATAAAAAGAATGGAAAACTTATATGATACATATTATCTGAAAAGCTACGCAATGCGACTTTAATGAAAAAGTAAAGTATTAGTTGTTAATCCCTCGCAAAGTTATTCGCGCGAATTCGCTGTATAATCACCTCGTAAATATATTTCCTATTCATATAGTGGCGGAATGATAAAAACTTAATTTCCTTGTTCTATATATGCATGTCTCGAGGTAAGACGATCGCACAATAGTATCTATCTTTTTTGTCATAACATGATTATTGCGAGCAAACGTTACATTGCAACCTAGAACGGGGCCGACGCGACAAGGTCTCCGAAGATAAGAGAGAAAACGTAGCGATTATAACCGGTTAAAATTTACATTTTGCTTTTAAATAGGAAGACGACGTCCGAGTAACGACCAACCTTCGATAAGTTTGTAGACCCGTTATATGTACAAATGATCGATCAATACCATCAGGAACAGGCAATAGGACATGCGGATTCCATTTCTCTTTGAATAAACATACATATAAACCGCCGATCTAGCGATATCGCTAACGATCAATAATTGATACGAATCCACTCGCCTGTTTATTTAAAATTGTTTTTCTAGGCGCGAAAATTTACATCTAACAATAAGCTTATTCAAATTTCTAGCGAAACCGATATATAAACATTGACTTGTTTAATTAATGCTAAATGATGATCAAGAAAACTGAGTCAGGGATACAATAAATAGGGGATTGCTATGTAATAGCTATGAACATGAAGCGTTTTCTTTATGTGACAAAGCTAATAATAATGCGTAAAATGGATAGTTTGACCAAATTTTGTTGTACTTTCTTTGTCGATAATTTATTATATTAATATCGCTGTGTAATCAAATATCTATAATAAGTAAAACCTAATATTTTCGCGTATGGTAATTATTATCCATATTTACAAACATTTATAAATTTAATTTAAGCAATTTTTTTGTACGCATCGGATTTTTATCACTTTCCTAAATAGTGCCGTACAAACACAAAAAACAACTTTTATGATATTATAAACTTGGAAAAAGTACATTTCATTAATGTCTCGCGGAATCATGTTTCCAACTAAAATATTTTTGCATAAATATATATATATATAATATAAATTGTTTTCGGCAATTATTTTTATCATATACTAATATAAACACGATATTTTTATATGAGCTTTTATATTAGCGAGTAGTTATGAAATGTATTCTTTAACACATGTATTACATAACAAAAAAACATTCCTCATCGCTAATATTTTTATAATAAAATAATTCTTGTAATTGCAAGAAATTCGAAAAAATTTCTCTGAATTGCGAGTAGCCATCTGATGATGATATTTACTATTTACTATTACTTTTATATTTACTATTACTTGTTCACTCTGATCGCTTTAAAGTGATGGAAAATTTTTTGTTTTAGAAAGAGGAAGAGAGCCTATTTATTTTGTAAAAAAAAATACGTCGTCTTTTATCATGTAGGAAGTTCTTGACGAGGACATATATCGATCCTGCGTCGTGTTTAATCGCAATATTAATAGGCGTCCATCAAGAGCCATGAATGACTTGCCAGCGCCTATATACCTCTTCTACAGCAACCTAGTAATAAACAAGAAAAGACAATAAAAAAAAACCCAAGGGGAATATGTGCAAAAGGCGGAAACGTCGAATCATCAAACAATACCCGGAGCCAGATAACACTACGAGGCGTGGACGAGTAGGTGGGGAAGACACGAGACAGACACGATGTGAGGAATAAATACTGCCCTGAAATCGAGCGGAATTCAGTCGCATGCTTAGTGTACTAACGACGTTAACTCTAGTCTGATCATTGTGGGGGTCCTTGTTCACGTGCGGATCTTCATTGTTTGGCACCACCTTACCAATTGATTAATTAATAGCGCCTCGACACCACAGGACTCTCATCCGTCAGTTTGTAATTTGCCATCGGAACCCACATAGATCTACAGCGAAAATTCATCGAGCAAGCTACGATGCTACCGAGTCGATATTTACTCATCTCTACTTTCGCAACCATTGCGGCCGCCAATTTTTTCGGGTATTTTTCACTTAAAAAGTATTATAATTTTTCAACCCTTCCGAAATCGCGAAGTTTGTTCGAAAAAAAGTTTTGTTTTATTGATAAAGTAATTAAAGTAACTTGTCGTTTTTCATCGATATATCTGTTAGATATAAAATGAAGCGTATTTTAGTTTTATTTGTTGTTAAGTAAACGCATTCTTTTGCGGTTTTATCACATACAAATATAAATGTTTTATTTTAAGTTTTAGATATTGTATTTTCTATTTATAAATATCTGTTATAAGCGTAGTCGCATTTCCGCAAAAATATTATATCATTTTTTAATTATTTTTATTTTTTCATTGGACACTTAGTATGTTACTGAATTATTTGATGCAAGGGTTGCTAATACAATTCTAGAAATTTCATAAATGCAAAACGTACGCGAATCCGGCGGCCCGAAAATATCTTATCTAACCGGTGTCATTGTCCACGAGTTACCTCGTGTTTCTGCTCATGTCAGTCTAGGCGCAACGACCCCCGAAGCAGGCAACCCGCAACAATTTGACGTTTACTGGAACGTGCCCAGCTTTCTATGCCACAAATACGGCGTAAAATTCGAGGATCTCAAGGATTTCGGAATTCGTCAGAATGCGAATGACAGATTTCGCGGTGAGGAAATCGCGATTCTTTATGATCCTGGAATGTTTCCGGCGCTGTTAACTGATAAAAATGGTAAATTGAAAGTAGTTGTCATCAAATAAAAATGTTCCGAATCTAGGAAAGATTACGAAACATTTTTCAGACATTTCTTTGATATTCTAATTCTTAAACCTTATTTTCAACTCTTTGAATTCTTATATTGTGTCATTCTAATCAGTCGTTGTATTTTCAGGAATTGTAACGAAAAGAAACGGTGGCGTCCCACAAGAGGGTGATTTGAAGAAACATCTCGAGATATTCCGAAAGCATTTGATCAAGCAAATCCCTGATGAGTCATTCAGCGGCGTCGGTGTGATAGATTTCGAGAGCTGGCGACCAATCTTCCGGCAAAACTGGGCCTCCCTCGAACCTTACAAGACCCTGTCTATAAAATTGGAACGTGGAAAGCATCCTACTTGGAGCGACGCGGCCATCAAAAAGGAAGCGAAGCGTCGCTTCGAGAAGTACGGTAGGATATTTATGGAAGAAACCTTAAAGACAGCGAAGAAGCTTCGGTCTAACGCCACCTGGGGTTACTACGGTTATCCGCATTGCTTCAATCATACTCCTGGCCAACGTAGCGCGCATTGCGATCGTCAGACCATGGTGGAAAACGACGAGTGAGTAAAATGTCCGACGAATCGATAATTTGACATCTGATAATGTGTGTATAATTTAGTGGCATACATGTGTAAGTGCGTCATTATGCTTTACGCGGAATGTTCACGGATCTCTTGTAGATAATCTCGCGGTATTTACAGCTTTAACATTGAAGTCGGTATTAACTTGTAGCCTCATCGCCTGATAAAATTTATGAGCATATTGTTTAATTCGCCGGTTGATTTTACGATGTCATCCCGGATATAGGACGATCGAAATTATGATATTTATGATTAAATAGGTCAAGGTCGAGGATAGTGCGGAGCGCTAAAAGCCGGAGCGACTTGCAGTTTCACACCCGCTGTGTTATCTAATCGCGAAGAGCGATAAAGGAGAGGTCGGGGTTTTAGAAGGCCGGGTAATGACGGGTAATAATTTTCGTAGAATATCTTGGCTCTTCACACTCGAGGACGCGCACATGCCTTCCGTGTACTTAAGGCAGAAGATCAAGGAGATGGATCGGGTGGGCTTCGTGAAGGGCAGAGTGTCGGAGGCGTTGCGAATGGCGGAGAAGAGTTCCCGCAAACAACAAGTTCTTGCCTATCACTGGTTCAAATATCAAGATCACAGGGATAACTTTCTTAGTAAGGTGAGTTCTTTCGATCTTCTCGAGACGTCTCGAAAATATTAATATTGATTCCGAAAATTTGTCTGCGCAGAAAGATACGGAGAACACGGTCAACACGATCGCCAACCTCGGTGCTGATGGCGTGATTATTTGGGGCAGCTCTGAAGATACAAACTCGGAGGAGAAGTGCAAGGATCTGCAGCAATACGTGAAAAACGTTTTAGGGCCGGCGATAAAGCGGATCAAGCAAAAATAGTGCATTCTTTGATAGAAACGACAATTTCGCATGTTTAACTAACAGTACAAATAATTTTTATCTAATTTTTTATTTTCGTTTAATTCATGTTTTAACTTCTCAGTTCCTAGTTCCTAATAAGATTTGACATATTTATGTTTTTTCAACATTTTTATGTAGACATGATTTATAGATTTGAACAAATGTAGGCAAAATTTCAATCTCTCTAAAAAAACTATAAATTTCGGAGAGCCGTAGATGGATCAGGAACTACAGACTAAGATTGAGAGAGAGAGAGAGAGAGAGAGAGAGAGACTGTGAGAGCAAGAGAGGGAGGCACAATCGAGCCGCCAGTTTTCAGCTGCTCCAGGTTCCAAATTCTTGTGGACCGGCGGCAGCTCTAGTGATCTCGTTAACGTCAACGGAGGCGCGTGACGTGGCGTCCGGCTCATCATCCCCGAATCCTCCTCTTCGTCACCTCCGCATCGCGCTCCGCCTCGAAACGGACAATTGCGCGTAGTAGTCTCGATCTTACGACTACGGCGAGGACGATGAGCGCGCAATACGACATGTTTTACTGGTTCGCGATGTAACGCCTCGGGCGATGTGCTTTTTTACAGTACGCGCGACGCGTTTTCTGTAGAGAAGAGGTAGTAGTCAGCAGATCTTTCTTGCTCACATACAGTTGATCTCTCTCTCCCTTCTCGCATTCGCCTCGCTGTTGCCCCCGTCCTTTCTCTCGGCTCTGTCGCACCTGCGGAGAATGTCGATCTCGAGGCGCGAGATCGACGAAGAAGGAGAACGGAACGGGAACGCGCGGCGCGGAACGGGAACCGAACGCGCGCACCGCGAGTAGAAGGAGAAGCTGAAGGGGAACCCAGTGGTGGAGGTAGAGGAAGAAGAAGAGAAGGAGACGGCGGGCGGGCGGGAGGTGGTGGAGGAGAACGGAACACGAGAGATCGGCAGCACAGTTTCGTGTTCAGCTTAGCTCGGTTCGGCTCTCAGCCTTGTGATATCGGAAGCCCCCAAGTACTTGAAAGGTCGAAGTTCTCTCGTACGCACTCCTTCGAACCATCGGATCCATCTGGCCGGAAACAGAGAGCTCGGAGGTTACGAGCTCTCTCTCCCTCTCTGTCCGCTTGCGAGAGAGGCAAGATTCCTGGTCGCCCCAGCGGTGACTAGAATACCTGTTGCTCTAGGTGCTCTCGCGAGAAAACCGGCGGCGCGTTGGTGCGCAGTTTGCGGGCGAGACAGCGACAACAACGGTAACGTGCAAACCGAGGTGAGTGACAGTCCCTCTGCAGAAGATCCAAGGCTTCCCGGATCGGTGATAGACTTGAGACGCCAGCGTCGCTCGACTCCGATCCATGTTATTCATTTTAAGATAGTAACAACTCCTTTCATCGGCTGCTGCGACTCGAATCTGATCCAGCTGTCGGCGAGCAGCTCGCGAAAATCGCTGACTCGTCGGAAAAACTGGAAAGAGTCTGCATTCAGCAAAAGATCGTCTGTCTCTTGCGAAATTCGAAACGCGTTCGTGCTCGCGTGTATTTGTGTGCATGTGCATTCGTGAATTGAATGCGTGCGTTTCCTGCGCGTGTGCATATACACACACTCATTGATGTATAAGTGTACGCTCGGTCCATATGTGTATATACGCACGATCGACGTACTCTCATTGCTTCGGAATTCTGAATAAATCGACGGAGGATTGCGAAAGTTTCGGTCCATTCGATGTGCGAGATTCTATATTAATAACTTAGAGGAAATACCAGATGTAGGCGGACTCAAATAATGGTTTAAGTTCTATAGTTTAAATTTTTTTAAATTTCTTAAATATACATTTTAACTTTACTTGTTCTTTGGCTGTGCCCTTTCTTTTAAGAGCGTAATCTTACGCCATCGCTTTTGAGCTAGTAAGCGTCTCGAGAGAGCGCAAACCATGTTGCCTCCGCTGTTGAGAGAAAATTTTTCCTATTATCGAGAGTGGTGTACTTTATGTAATTTAATGCACGAATATTAGTGCGCTTCAAAGCTTGTATTGGGGTTTGTGGATATCTTTACTTAAACATCTCCGATATCTTCCGCTTCGTGGAACGAGGAATCCAACACCAGCTGATCGAGTTACGATGATCGCGGTTCTCCTCCAAAGTGTGGATGAGGGGCCCAAATACTCGAGCGATACAGAAGCACCCTATCCAAAACGCTTCGGCCACTAATCCTAAATGCCCTCAGACCCCTATTCCAGACTTAATGATAGCTCTTCTTAGACGCAACAGTTAAGTTCCAAGCTAAACTGTTGCGCGGTAGCGAACCCATAATCGGTTCCTTTCTAACGGAGACTGTCCGCGATTGGTCCATAGCTCGCAGCTACCGTCCAACTTAATTGGTCGATCTTATAGCTGTCCGACAAGGCGAGAATATCGAAGTTTCGATTCCGAGTCAATCACGCCGATCGAACGTTACAATATTTCTCACGGGCATGGAAATATATCATCGAATAAAAAACTTTATTGAACTATGTTTGATTTTTTGATAGAATATATTGCTAATAATTTTCTTCTTTTTTTCTGTTGGAAAGAAGTTATGCTATCGAAATTTTGTCAATAAGGCACTTGCATATATGTTAAATGATATACATTTTTATAGTAAATATTATTATTTATTAATTTAATGTGAATATTATTATGTTATTATTTATTTGTTAGAGATATTTTTTTAATATGTCGCGTTTAAAACTTTTTCCAGATGAAACTTTATTGACAGTCGCTTGCGAATTAATTTATCTTTCAAAATATTTTTCTCTATATGAGATATTGAGAAAGTACTTTCTCAGAAGAATTGATGACGCGTGTAACTGGGTATTTTTTCAAGCAACAACACCGATCGAAAGAGGACAAATAATTCGCAATTTGTCCCTCCTTGTTTTTCGCGTGAGTGAGGAAAAGAGAAGAGTGCTAAAGGGGTCTCGGCCGCGGGCGAAAGGGCGGGATCAAAGGGGAAAAGGGGGTTTAGTAGCGCCAGAAGTAGCGGACAGGCTCGAGGAAGACGAAAGGGCCCGTTTTAAAGAGGCGAGCATTAAAAACAACAATGTCATTACATTTTAACGACCTGTTCTTTGGCTGTGCCCTCCCTTTTAAGAGCGTTCGTTTGCAGGTATGTGGTCCGCGCGCTCACGGGGGCCAACCACATCGCGCCAAGGGGGCCCTTAAAGCGTCGCGCACACGAGTCGCGTGTGCTATGCGCACGCGGGTCCACTTTCGTCGCCTACCTCCACCTCCTTTCAAGATACGATATGAAATTAAAAGTTACAAAAATGAAATAAAAGCCAGGGTAACATAACTTTTGATATCGAATGTAGAAGTCGAACTAAGGAAAATAAATTCCTTCGTCTATTTTGTTTTTATAGATATATAAAAAAGATTTTATATAAAAGATTTACTTTTCGGCGAATGAAAAAGAGTAAATGAAAAATAAATATCGAACCATTTTTTAACATAATTTTATTATAAAGGAATGGAGCAAAGCTTGTGTAAGTTTTCTTCCGCCTGGCTCGTTCCCCCCGTCCCCTTCTCACGGGCCCCGTTGATTCGTTCTCCACACGCGTTCCGGACACGCCGTGCAGCTCGCGAAGAATTAGTATGGGCGAAGAAACAAAAGCACGAGAAAAAAAAAACCGCACACGCACGGAGGGGCACGGCGACGGCGAAGAAGAAGGAGAAAAAAAAGGAGCCGAAATGGCGCCACACGTTCAGCGTGTTTTCGGGGCATCCCCCGGTGCTGTTGGCAAACTCCTTTTTTCGGCGCCATCCGTCTCCCTCGCGCGCCCGCCCGTTCCTGGTTCTCCCTTACGTACCCTGCGAGCCTCCCACCTCGTCTCTTCGCTCGCACTCTCTCTCTCTCTCTTTCTTTCTCTCTCCTCTTTTCGGATATCCTCGCACGATCCGCACCCTCGTGCGGCCGACTCCTCTTTTATTTCCTTACTCTTCCTCGATCTTTCAAGCTCACCCCGTATCCGCGGGCCATTTATTAGTTCGCCCAAGGTATCTCGATATCCCAAAGAAAAAAAAAAAAAGAAGAAAAGCAACGGAAGGAAATAGAAAGAAAAATATCGGGCGCGCCGGCGTCCCAGCCAAATGTGAAATTAGGGTATGTCAAAACGGGAGGTGGAGATTTTCATTAAAATCAATGGGGGAGATTAAGGGCCGAGACACCTAATTATGGATATATCACTCGCCGTCATCTCCGAATCGCTCGGCCACGCACCGGATCATTAAGTTCGGGAGATTGAACTCCGTAACGGCCGGATCTCTCTCTCCCCGGGCGAGGTATTATACACGGACCTCCGGCCCCCAGGATGAATATGTGCGCGCATGAATTCGACACACACACCAGAAGAGAGGCAGGAATAATATTTTTTCCCGCCGTGGACAGCTTCATCACAAAACAAATCGTCGCTGGTGCTCGCTCGCTATCTGTGACCCTGCATGCCAGACCATATGCGTCGCTTGTAGTTGCCGACGAGAGAAGACCAGTCGAGTTACGCGAGAGAAGAAACTACATAACAGATCGAAAAGTTTCGATCGCGAATGCGTTCACGAAAGCTTGCGAATGTCCACGAAATGCCGTCAACTGCGATTCTTTTTCATCTTTTTTCCTTTTATTCCTCGATATACTTTAATATCTCGGAGCAAAACGCAGCTCTAGACAACAAATAATATTTGTACTATCAATGTAATGATAAAAAAAAAA